CAAAGCTTATGACATCCTTTTGGACCTGTGCTCACCAGAAGCTCCTTCCGAGAAAACTTATGGTGATCTCGCAACCATTCTTAAGGACCACTTTGCTCCGAAGAAACGTCTTATCGTAGAATGATATCGATTTCACAACTGCATTCAACTCGAAGGAGAAAGTGTTTCCACTTTTGCCACCAAGCTCAGACATCTTGCTTCTACCTGCAACTTCGGCACACATCTAAATGAAACTCTACGTGATTGTCTGGTCTGTGGACTTTGCAACAAGGAAATCCAGAAAAAGTTGTTAACCAAGGAACACAACTTTGGCGACGCTCTCAAAAAAGCACTCGGTGGTAGGCTGCCAAGACAGATGTCGCTGCATTCTCTCGAGAAGATGCCACTCCGGCAAACAAGCTCTATTCTGTTGGCCGTCAGACTTATTGTCTGCACAGAACACGCAGACCTCCATGCAAGGCCTGAGGCAAAAAGCCACATAACCAGAATCAAAATAACAGCACTTCTGAGTGCCTTAAATGCGGCAAAACAGGCCATGCATGTTCCCAGTGCAAATACAGGAGCTATACATGCCACTCCTGTGGGCAATCGGGTCATATCACAGATGCATGCAAGTCTAAATCTCAGAAGATCCACACGGTTGAAGAGCCAGAAGTGTCACAACTCGACCTCCCTTCAAATCCACTTTCTCTCTCAATCTTCAGCATCAATGCACAGAACAATGGTACCCATTGAGTTGAACGGAATCCATCTCCTAATGGAATTGGACACCGGCGCTGGAGTTTCAATTATCTCCCAGGAGACTTACAACAGGCATTTCAAGGAGACCCCACTCCAAACTGGATACATACCTGCACACCTACACAGGGGATCCAGTCCAAGTCTCTGGTCAGTTCCCAGTACAACTCAAGTATCAAATTCAGCATATCACTACGCCACTCCTTGTAGTTAAAGGCTCTAGACTCTTTGGAAGAAAATGGCTTTCTCGTGTCAACCTGGATTGGAAGAAAATATGTAGCATCCATGTCTCAGACCCAGGCCTCAAACCAGATGTCGAGTCACAATTGCACAACACAGTCCAGCATCACTCTAATGTCTTCAAGCCTGGCCTTGGTACTATTCAGGGAATCACAGCTAAATTGGAGATGAAGCCAGATGCCCAGCCAAAGTTCTGCAAGGCCCACCCAGTACCTTATGCTCTCCAGGAAGCAGTAGATGCAGAGTACCACCGACTTGAATCCGAAGGTATTGTGGAAAAGGTCAAATTCAGTGAATGGGCAAAACCCATGGTTCATGTTCCAAAGGCGGATGGCACCACACGGTCCTGTGGAGACTATGCTGTTACGGTCAACCCCCAACTCAATGTCCCTCAGTATCCAATCCCCCTGCCTGAGGATGTATTTGTCAAGTTGCGAGTCAGAAAATGATTCACCAAGCTTGATTTAAAGAATGCTTATCAGCAACTCCCATTGGATCTTGACAGTCAGCAGTTCGTAACCATCAAGTTGAACACACATCATGGTCTATATCGGTACAAAAGGCTACCGTTTGGTATTGCCTCATCCCAGGACATTTTTCAGCAGACCACGGACATCATTCTTCAAGGTCTTGAGCATGTCACAGCCATTCAAGATGACATTCTGATCACGGGCAAGGATGATGAACAGCATATCCAGAATCTGAACACTGTTCTCAGTAGCTTAGACAGTTACGGCTTGCGACTCCAGTTCAACAAGTGCAAGTTCATGCAGCGGTCAGTAACCTATGTGGGCTGCGTCATCTCTGCTGAAGGAATTTCCCCAATGGAGGATAAGGTTGAAGCCATAAAGAAAGCACCACACCCTGAAAACTGCACCCAATTAAGAGCCATCCTTGGAATGATAAACTACCATGGGAAGTT